GATAATTTGGTGAAGTATTGGCGTCAAAGATATCATTGATTTGCTAGTTTTAAGCTATCATAAAACAATGGGTTGTCATCAATATTAAAAAAAAAGTAGTTTGTGTATCTTGTCAACACATCGTTAGGCTGAAAATAATTCGTATATGAATTCTTCCAATTTTGTTATCAAGAGTGAATACATGGAAGAAATGAAGTCACATAAAATTGCAAAAAAGTCGAATGCATATAGTGGATAAAAGCAACCTTATAGTATCTGCTTCTATTGTTACGTTGCTTCCGTTAACTTTTCCTGGTATTGTTCTATCAAATTCCTTGGTGAATTTTCTTCAGAAATATTTTCGAAAAAGAATTTGTCTCTAAAAATAATGAAGCTTTAGAACAACTACATATAAACTTTCGTAGACTTTGAAAAGCTTTATCATTCAATATAAACATACAATATTTACATTAATAAAACTATTTCATAAAATATATTGAATTTGATGAGAATTTTTGTTTGTTAAGTTTTCTCTCATTCTAATTTGTACATAAGGAAATTGATCATTCCATCAAACCTTATCATAAAATAAAAGATAAAAGTCCAAAATAAAGGCGTATTGGCATTTTTTGCTGTTTCTGTTCGAGACATGAAAGCAAGTGTTGGAATAACTACACGAAAGAAATTATTTTGTATTTCATCTTTTGAAAAAATCTTCATAAGTACTCACAGACTGTGTAAAGCCAGAATCTTAAGAAAGTTTCTTTACTAGCCTAAATGTTGACACTTTTGGTACGTCGTCATAATCCAACATATTTGTATTTGCAATAACAGACACCGATCTATTCGGGTTTTTTTTACTTCTAAGTGTTCGAAATTAACAAAAAGAAAAATAAATGATATTAGACTATAGATGCTCAAACATTTTTTTTTTTTATTTCGATTTTTAGTAGTTGATTGTTTTATAGTTTGAAGAAAAACTATTCACAAATACATGCGAGTAGCTACCGTTTGTCCGATTAACAAAACAACAATTGAACCTGATCGAAAACGACATGAGTGGCGGTCAATTATACAAGAATTCGCTCTCAATACATCAACTCATGGTATTCCAGGCATTGCACGAAGTCAAAGTAAAAAAAATAGAATTTTTTGGACGATTTCGTTCATTATTTTCAGTGGCATTACATTGTACTTTGTCATTCAAACGATTCGTGAATATTTTCAATATTCTACACAGACATCAATAAATATAGTAAGCGAATGGCCACAAAATTTTCCAGCATTTACTATTTGCAATGTTGCACGTATCCGTTATGATCAATTCATTATACCATTTTTGAACTATACAAATGAATTGAATATCACTAACACAAATGACACAACATCATTTTCATTACTACAAGCCAAATATGTTAATGAATTTTTTCGAGTAAAAGTCAATCAAAATGAGTCGTTAACTAGGTTTTTCTTTCCCTTGAGTTCAATGCTTATTAAATGCGTCTTTAATGGTAAGCTTTGTTCAGCATCCGATTTTACTTCGTTTTCTTCATCTTCGTATGGTCTTTGCTATACATTCAATGCCAAATTGAAGAATATGACGGATGTTCGTAAAAGCAATGAATATGGTGGATCTGGTAAACTCGAGCTAAGTTTCTATGTACATAGTCATCAATATGTACCTTATACTACAGAGGGTTAGTATAATAATCTTTGATAAATTTCAAATTTATTTAGTTATTTGATCTCAGACATCGGTATGATAGGAATGGTACATGATAATACACAATTTCCTATGATTGAATTTGCTGGTAGAGCATTGGTCACGGGTTTCAAACATCGAATGACATATGCAAAGAAGACTATTTTCTATTTGCGTGCACCTTACACGACATGTAATGATGAGATACCACCGACTATGCAAGCGATGTTTGATAGTTATCCAGATGTCGAATATGTTTACTCAGAAGATTTATGCTATGATCTATGCACAGAAGTTTACACGTAAATATGTTCATATTATCCATACGAATAAATGATTGAACTTGCTGATTCAATTACAGGTATTATACGTGTGGTTGCATCGATCCAAAACAATGGAATGCTCGCTCAATTCTTCTACCACAAACTGACACAATAATCGTAGCTCCATTATGTAACATATCTGATACATGTCATACTCAAGCAGCTATTGTTCTGATGAATTCATCAACTTTACTTGAAAAATATTGTTCCTATTGTTCACAGCAATGTTCAATTACAGATTTTATTGTCAAATCATCAATGTGGAAAGCACCAGCCGATTGGTTAATGAATGATATAAAAACTTTTGTCAAAAACTCCGGAATTTTATTACCTAAGGATTGGTCAACTAATTGGCATTCACATATTCATTCTAATTATCTCTCTATCGAATTAGTACATGAATCGATTTTGGTCGAAAACTATACACAAATACCAGCAATGGGACCTGTGACAGTTCTATCAGATGTTGGCGGTCAAACAGGTCTTTGGATTGGTATCAGTTTTTTATCTTTGCTAGAAGTCGCAGAAATGTTCTATCGATTAATGCAATATCAGTACTATGCTATTCAAGAAGCCATAAGAACGTGTATTAAGAGAAATTGAATGTACAAAACTTGATCGCATAGAACTAGATGGATGTCTTTTTGATAATTGTATTAATCAATTTTATGTTTAGTTCAATAAGCAATAATTTTGATATGAACTTATATATAGGATAAAACTTCACGATTGGATATGATTTCAAAATTGAACATATTTTTGCTCATAGTGAGACTTCCTTGTCAAATAATATTTCCAATTTAAACTTAATAAAATTATTTGCTACAACTGATCAACAAATTTTGACTTGCTTATTGAATAATAGAAACGAAGCATCTAGTAAATTGATAGTGAGAAACTCCTTGACTTTTTCTATGCTGAAATATTTTATATTAAATTTATTATCAAATATAGTGAATTCTTTTTTTTTCATTTAGTATATCCTTCATAATCGATCGAACTTTTTCAGTCGAGTTTCAGCTCAACGATGTAGCGATTAATGGCAGAACTTGATTTCAGTTGTCATATTTCATGCTATCTTGTAGAAACTAATTTGTGAAACCTTCAGAAAATTGATATTCAGCAGTAGACCGAAGACCGTTTTTGTAGAGATTGCGCATCAGAACGCCTGTTAAATTCCGATCGAAGCTATTTCTTGAAAAGCAATTCCATCCATGCAACTTGTTAGGATACTTAACTGAGGAGCGATCTTGGTAATACCTGAAAATCGTCAAATGTTTCTTTCGCTGTGGCCAAGTCAAAAAGTCTTCTTGCTGGTAAAAATCAGATTG